CGAAAACGCTATAAGATTAAGACCGAAGCATAAACCGCGGCCAATAGACCAATCAATTTCCTTATGCTTATGCGTTATGCTTTATGTAAAAGTCTGTGCTCCGGCCTATAGCGTTTTCGATTATACAGGATTTGAACGACCCAAGATTGGTTAATGACGTCATTGCAACCTCTCCACCAATGAAAGACTTGCATTTATAGTAAAATAGTGATTGATCAACCCTAGATCGTTCAAACCCCGTTTATTCGAAAACGCTATAATCGAGTGGCCAGACCACGGACTAAGGAATAGAGGGACTAAGGGCGGTATTCATAGTCCGTTCTTATATTTAAAATCGTCTTAAGCACGGACTTATATTCGCTCTCTTCGTCACACATAGATTGTGTCTGACGAAGAGAGCGAATATAAGTTCGTGCTTAAGACGATCTTGAATATAAGAACGGACTATGAATACCGCCCTGAGGCTGCGTTCCCATTTCGTCTCACTCAGTGCAGTATCCAGTGGCCGCCATTTTGCTGGATACTGCACTGGAGAAGCGTTCCCAAATTACTGGACTGGCTAGTGACTAGTAACAGCCTCGCACACGTATTAGCTCATAACCTAATGGCTGGTTTATGCTTCGGTCTTATGGTCGGAGCACAGACTTTTGCATAAAGCATAACGCATAAGCATAAGGAAATTGATTGGTCCATTTCCTTATGCATTTGCTTATGCTTATATATAGACCAATCTAGTTTCCTTATGCTTATGCGTTATGCTTTATGTAAAAGCTTGTGCTCTCGGCTTATACGTTATGTATACTATAGATACATGCGCGCATATGCTCTTTACGGAACGCAGCCAGTATTTTTAGTTCAGTCAGTTCAGCTAAAAAGAACAGACCTATAGATACTTAGAAATTTATTACTAAAAAAGATGGATGGAGTTAGGGATAGTTCGATGTACATGGTGACAGCATTGCAGTGGTGACGCGCTAACTTCGCCGCGTATTTCAAGTCTTTTCGTCATCGTTGCGGAGCATGGTGAGTATCGTTGTTGTATCGTAGCTTCGCGTTATCGTATTTTTTTGCATTATTTCTGCATTATGCGTAGTAATACGGGTCGGGAGTGCCGTAGAGTATCGTGCGTTTATTATGTTCTGATAATTAACGTGTGCGTGATCGTAAAATCCGCGAGTATTCCGCGAGTGTCGTGTAGAAGAAACGGTCGAGTAACAAAATGGCCGCTAAGAAGAGCGGGAAAAGAAAGTGAGTAAAATTTTGATACTTTTGCTTGTTAATCCCTTAATGCACAGATTTTCTATAATAAAGTGTCAAAAATAAATGTAATTTTTGGACCCTCATATAGTCTTCGCGAGTATCGAGGCCTGAATAAACTCGGGCTTGCGCAATTTTGCAAGTACAATTTACCCGAATTAACTCAGATTTGTGCGTTAAGAGGTTACTTGCGAGATATATTATTCATTTGACTCGACGATTGCACGCGATGATTGTATAGCATTTTGCATAATATAATGCATGTATTATAAAGTTGGAAATATATATTTAGAATATTTAATAATTGATTTTTGTTTGGTAGCACACATAATAAAAGGCTGATTCCCGATATTCATCGATTCTTTAACGGAGCTGATGCAGAGCAGTTTAAGACGGAATCCGCAGCGGGGGAAGCAAATTGCAATACTCTAGCTGGTAAGTACAATTATTCGTTTATCATTTAACTATATACATAATTGCGATAATACACACACAATTATAATTACCATTAAATTTCCATATTTTTTCCGTTTGTTTTTTACTATTTTTTCACTGTCTTTCTTTGCCATTTTTTTGCTACTTGGCATTTAACTATGTGAGCATATTAAAGTGAGAAGTCAAAAAAACAAAATATACTATGTTATGCTGTTAATTCAGTATTACAAAAATTATGCTTTTTTTGTCTTATGTTATTTATTAATATTAAAATTTGTAAAGTAGTAGGAAAGCAAGAGGGGAAGAAAAACTAAAAAAAAAAAAATTAATTATAATGCTAATGACTTTTCTTTTGTATTAAGTAATTAATATAAAAACATTACCATCTTTCCTTATATCTTTTTTTAAGGAATACATTTATATATTTAAATTAAAATTCTATTATCTAAAAGTATAGAAGAATAAATTTGTGGATAATTAAAACATTTAGTTATAAAATAAAATAATATTACTAACATTTACTCACTTAAAATATATCTATAATATTCCTAATATTTTATTTATATGCAATGATAAATATTCTACTTTTTTATTTTAATATTTATTTATTTTTTATTAATTCTCTTTATAGAAAATAAAATATTAATTATTGATAAATAATGTTAAGATAAATAATTCGGGGTGTGTGTTTTGAAACTTGTTTTTATTAAAATTATAAAGTTATTTCTTTGGGTTATACTAAGGATCGAAGTAATAAGGTATGTCCTTTTGTTGTTCCAACAACCTGGTTAAAGCCTTTTCCATATTTTCTGGCAAATGGTCTAAGAGCATGCGTGGCATTACTGATAATTTTGTAAATTCTTCTGCCTGTGCCCATCGCATCTCATATTTTCTCTCTTTCATGAGTTGTTTTTTGCTAAAATGCAAAAATAATATACGTATAATTTATATTATTATCAAAATGCTACAATTTTTATTAGAATTATCTTATTTAAATTTTGTACTTTTAAGAATACAGGCTCACACTTTATATATACAAGATAATTATTTAAATAAGAACAACGCACCTTTTTCCTTTTGTTTTTTCAAGCTTACATCTTGCGATATGAAGTATACGACCAGCGTTAAACAGTTTTACTTGCGAATATCTTCTTTTTGTTATATCGCGCTCTATTTTTTTATCGTCCTGCAAAAAGATGAAACTTGTATTGAACGTCATTATTGAAATTCCTACAATTTTATAAGCGCAACAATTTTTTCTTACCGTGTTGCTGGGCTTAGTAAACAAAGGCGATTGACCGGAATTTCCGTTAACTAAATTATAATTAGTCCACGTTTTAGTTAAATCTCGTTCAGGAACTCCAAACAAAGCGTATCCAAATCCGTTCAAAATCACTCTGTACTAAAAATATAAGAATACTTATCAAAGCAGTTCGATTTATACATAATTATTTCTGGCAATCATAATTTTTTTTCTGAAAAATACCTTAGGCAATCGGCAGGCTTGCAGATTTGTTAATAACGACGTCCTTAAATTTTCTATACTATCCACACTGAGCCTCATTACAAGATCATCCCCAAGTCCTATGGTTAGCACGAATTCTTCTGTGACTCTGGCAGCTTCTCTACTGAGTAGTCCAGCTTTTTGGATAATTAAAAAAATTATAAATTAGTTTAATATATTTGTGAAAAAATTAATAACTGGCGGTAATCAATTCTTTCTACTGATAAAATTATGATGATCATTGAAATAAACTTAACGTTAATCATATACGCATGCAATTACCGGGCGTAGCAAACGCGTAGACTCTCACGTTCGGATAACGAGGACGTATCAATAATCCTAGTAGTATGGCTAAACCAGCTCCCAGACTATGGCCTGCGAATACGAGTTATTTTATTACACAATTTACAATTACGTCTCAATGATAATTCACGATGAAAGTAGATTACTCACCTGTAATCGTTAGATGATAATTAGGATATGTAGCGAACGCTTTTTCTAGGACTTTATAATTCTCCAATCGCTTTAAGATTACTTTCACGCCTATTATCATGCCTTTGTGTGCCTGTAAAAATTATTTCAGTTCACAATTAATAAGATCGATCAAATTTACGCAAAGAAAATAAAACGATTACTAACCGTGCTGCCCGGAGGAACGCCGGAACATTCGAATAAATCGGATGCAGCCGCGAAGTCAGTGATCAAGTCCCGTAAAGATAATGACCCTCGTATAACCACGACGATACTACCAGTTTTATGATCGGCAATTACGCAGAACGGTATCTGCAAGATTTTCAAGAGTAATACATAGACATCGGATAAGTGTGGAAGAAGCGTGTGATTTAGAAGCGATATACCTACTTCGCATAAGTGATTCTTGAAGGAAGCAAACAGAATATCCTCCTCGGATAGCTGCGACAAATATTTAACACCGGACAGATAACAGAGGCAACAATTGTCGCCCAGAATAATGTTACGTTTTCGCCTAAAAAAATATAAATATTTAATTATCTCATTTACAAAGTAATATGCAAAGATTATGTGATATGACATGTACGGTTTTATTTTTCTCACCGAAAACAAGCACAGCACGTCATGCCGCGTATTAAACGAAAACATCCAGTGCACATATGCTGATATATTACAAAAAGCCAGCCGTAGGAAGCGATCGACAGTCGTAAAAAATGATGGGCAGCTTCCAAGGACATCCAGGTAGGCGTCCCGGCAAAAATTGTATCGGCGTCTATAAAATACAAATAGCAAATTTCACAATCCATTGCAAACATTTACATTTGAAACATGCATTTACATATCTTTTATATACGTGGCGTACCTGCAGTATATTTTGAACGCCCGATTAGATTCAAGCTTCGCAATTCGTGAGTTTCTTGTTTTTGTCGGACTCGCAGTAGAATGCATCCTGCCATTACATCCGAAGGAACCAAGTCCGTACCTCGGAATAATGCGGTTAAAAGACCTGCAAAGATAGATATTGTGTCACTACTATTACAGAGGAGTCATATTAAAGAGTAAACAAGCTGCTCTCTCTCTTTACATCATATTGCATTCTACACACCAGTGATACAAAGCGCCGAGAATAACAGAATCTCGAGTTTTAGTTTTTTCAGAAAAAACTTCGACTGGTTATTGCAATTTTTTAATATACAACGTTAAACATTGTTATACGTAATTGCTTACCAAAATGTTTAACGTTGCATCGCAAATTAAAATTTATTCTCTCTGGCATGTCGAAGTAATCACGAATATTACGAAGCGATCGCGTAATCGCTGTTCTCGAGCTGCAAGAAAGAAATAGAGAGAGAGAGAGAGAGAGAGAGAGAGAGCAACACACGTCGAGAAGAAAGTCCCACCGACGTGAAAACCGGAACAGTGATTAATGATTTGATTTATCGACGGGCATCCCCGGTGGGTTTGGTTCTCGATCGTAAACGATCACCCGCGTTCCAATTTTTATATGCGGCAGGACCTTCTCTCATAGGTCAGCCGTACCTATGTCTCACCAGCAACATGTTGAAAAGTCTCGCTCGCGCTCTCGTCTTTGCGCATCCACCACAGAAACTTGAATCTCCGCAGCCAGATGCGCGAGACCTTGCCATGTTCCACGGAATTCTCCAGATGCTTCTTTTCTAAGGAACCGATCGGGTCGAACACTAAAGCGAGGCCAAAGATGCTGAGACCGATTAAGATCCAATCGAAGAACACTAAAGCTTTCACAACGGTGATGGAGTAGTGCTCGTGGTTACATTCCACGCTCTGCCCGAAAATCCACATTGTGCCCAAAATGTTCCATCCGACCTCTGGCAGCAGCATTAATATTCTGATTACAATCAAAAGGGGAAATTTTAGTCTTTGTGACTAAATATACTTGCAATAATTAGATGAGATAGATAATATTGAAATATAAAAATAGGTAAATATAGTGAAAATATAATCAAAATTGACGTTGGTTAACATTTATCGATATGATAATATAAATTCGGTGATTGTTGAGATGTGATATCGCAATACGGATGTACAGAGAAGATATATGAGATTTCCTGTTATTCGTAACACTTCTATACGTATATACATACGTATATCCATGTGTGAATACATCTCGTGCACAGCATTATAGTTACTTTACAAGAAAATTGCTACTTTGCATAAAGCAAAAAAATCATATATATTTAGTTGGTTTTTTTTTTTAGTGTAATCTATTTTCTTATATATGCAGGATGTAAATTTTTTTGTACTTTTGTGCAATTATCGAACTTGTAATTTACTTATACATTACAATCTTTATGTCATTATTGAGTGAAAATATAGAAATTCAGACAAATTAGGAAAGAAGAGAAAATCAATAAGAAAATTATATTATTTAAGTAATTTTCAATCTTTGCTTTAATAGAATTTAAATTTAAGATTTAATTATTTACATATATATAATAAAAAATTGGAAAGTTGCAATAAATTATGATCTTTTTAATTTTTTAAAGAAAAATTGACCGAACATTTATCGTTATTAAAAAAATAATATGATAAAAGTATGAAGCTCTTCAAAAGAACACTTTGCGAAAATTATTGGTCTAGAAAGCTGACGCGACGCTGGTTTACTTTTATTGCTTACTTGAACATCAAGAGCGGTTCGACGTAACGTCGGGCATGCGTGTCCATGATGGCCCCCCTCGCGCTATGCCTAATGATGATTAGTATCAAAAGCGTAACGATACCAAGCATGACCGCTTCGCCGAGAAGATAAGCACGCACTAATTCACCTCCCAACCGACAATTCCACGTATTTTCGTAATACCTTGCGCAGGCGATCCCTATAAGAATCAACCTGTAAAACACATAGCCGATTACGAGAAACAAACTAGCAATTATTCGAACGGTTGTGGTTGAACAGCTTGTGCAAAAACTTGATATCGAAGATGAGCTCTCAATACCATAAAATCAAATCTTGAAATTTTAATTTATTTAAGATTATTGTGTCTTAAAAGTTGACTTCTGACAGAATAATTTTAAAATGTATAGCTCGTGCATCAAATAGTAACTTTTACGACTAATATAATGTTCGATTACTTATATGATATGACTACGACTAACGTAATAAGATAATTTCAACTGTTTAAAAATAATAATTACTGATTATTCATGACACTCACCATATGACACGTATAAATAATTCGAACAAGCCGGGATACACGAGATCGTCGGTTGCCGCCAACCATTTTCGTCCGAAAAGCTTCAACGCAGGCATCTCCCTGTGTAAAAAATATTCTTGTAAACGCTGTACCTTTCTCAGAATATTTATTTTATTAGCTAAGACATTTGTCTTTAATTTTATTTTAATAACTACTTTATTAACTAAGAAAAAAATTACAATATAATATAGTATATCATGTTTATAAAATATTTATTTCAAATTAATAGAAGTTAAAAATAAATTATAGGCGTTTTTAATAGTTTATTTATATTTTATCTAAAAAGTCGAAATTACCTCTTTATAGATTCATATCTATAGATATTTAATTAGATTTTTATATCTAGATGTTCGTCTATGTACAGATTTTTATATTTAAATCTTTATGACACAACGAGATACAACTAATCGACTTGGTCACGTTCGTAAAGGTCTTGCGAGGGACGCGAAACACGCACCGCGGAAAGTTTACTCAACGACGCACTCTTATGCGTTTCGCAATATTACAGAACAAAGTAGACGTGGCTTTCTATGATCATAAATATCCAAGATTCGGGCGAACACACACGCGAATATCAACTTGATCACGAACCGCCGTTCCGGAGAAAGCGTCGGGAGAAAGTGCGTGTGTCCATCTCACATCTAAAATCGTATTGACACAGCCTTCTAACGTACTTAAATGGACCCTGAACTCGGCGATTTTAATCGCTGTAAGCTAAGAGCGCACAGCTGATCATACTAGTAGCGTAGATTATATTCATAAGCAATCCGGATAGGTTATAAACGACACGAGTATTGCTCATTGTATACAATTTGTTCGTAATAATACATGTTGTGCTGTATCATTTTTATTAACTGAAACATATGTTTGTGTGACTTCTAGTCTTTTTATGAAAAAGAAATTTTAAGTTCTAAAAAGAAAATATCAAAATTATCGAACATACTTTTTACTTATCGATATTTTTTAATCTAACCCGCACTTAAATCTTTTTTAGTGTCGTCTGTGTCTCTTAGCTTCTTATATCTTTTTTATTTTTTATGACACTCTTAGATTTGTGCACGAATTAGCGCCCCTTAACTAGTTGCGTAAATGACTTTCAAGTGTTTAAATCACGGGAAAGCACACGGTTTACACCATAATACATGTACTTTTTGAATGCGTCAATTAGTTGTAAATACGATTGTCCAACTGCTTTCTTTTACAAAGAGCGAGATAACAAGAACGCGGAAATGATAATTATGGCATATTATCATGGGATCGTGGAGAAAAGAAAGTTAATATAATAATTTCGTCGCTATTAACGAGAGATAAAAACAGATGACTTACTTTTATATTTATCGGTATCAAGGATACAAATTGTTATTCATCATTAAATCTCAAACGATATTATAGGTTTAAATAATTAATAATTTAATAAATTAGATACGAGGAAACTGTCTGTAATACGTTCTTGGACTATTTTTACGTTTAAAAATTATTTCTTGAAAGATTATGAGTTGAATTTAGAACAAAATATTACAATGCTAGTTGCTCTAACAGCAATTAACATTTTCTTGAAACATGCTTTGCTATTATCTTGCATAAAAACATCATGTAAAAAACTCATTTAAATATACGTCATCATATTTACAAAAAAAAAAAAAAAGATGACTAATGGCAAAGACGACAATAAGAACCAGAGACGCGTTTGTCAAAGTGCAAGAATTCTTAATTATTATCAATTAATGTGCAAAAATGTTTCAATCACAATTTCGAACGAAGGAACTTTTTTCTATTTTATCAAACTGAAAAAAGCTTGTGTGTATGAAATTGCGGTCGAAAGGTTTTTATACATTAATTAACAATAATTCTTGTGCTTTATAATTTCTATGCTTTTGATTTTTATTGCCTTCTCTACTATTGTTTGTCTTTGAAGAATCACACTTTATACTAATGGAAAAAGAATATAATTTAAAAAGTGGAAAAGAACGAGAAATGAACGCAATTCGCGAGGAGGTAACTCTGATATTGTTTAATATTGATATAATTTAGCAAGAAGTTAAACGAATAGATAAAAATAAGATTTAAAATGTATAAGATATAATTATGTGCGTGTACTAAATTCGCGATGTTAGTAGGTCAAATTACGCAAAATGCATACATTCCGCGACTCGAAACGCGTGCATTCGCATTGCGTCATCGCAAATTTTGACGCAACAAATTGGAAAACGTTTGTTAAACATTTGTGCTTAATCCATTGTTAGCGTCTTCGGTGTCATACTACGAAAATTAAGTATTTAATCTCGCAAATATCTTGGACCGTGTGAACATAGTTAATTAACATTAGCAAATATTTCTGCATATTTAACTATATATCTCGTAAGGATTGAAATTCATATACTGAACTCATGTTTCATACCATATACATATACATACGCACAAAAGTAATCTTACGTATGTTTACATTTGTATTATATTACAATGTAAATTATGATATATCTTTTTATATATCGTTTGAAGAAAACATCAAATTCCCGATGGTAACTTTCATAATTTTAACTTTCATAATGGTAATTATACAGATACGAAGTTCTATCATTATTGCTGCACACGCGAATGTTTTTCATTAATTAGAAATACCAACAAAACCAATGTAGTATAAATTATTCATATATTTTATAATTAAATTGAAACATTTTATCTTGTCTAGCATTCTATTCTTTGCAATAAATATTATTGCATGTATTGCAGCAAATAATTAACAATAATATTAAATTAAATAATTATCTGAAAACAGCCAACTCTGGCGATGAAAACGAACTAGCTTATTAACATTTTATAATACATGGTATTGACTTACTACACTTGTTAACACTGTCGAGCTGCTAATGAAGATGCATCACGCTTTTTTATTCACGGTTATTACACGAATTGATATTCAGCGAATCCGAACGCGCGTTGCACACGCGTTAAAATCTCCCCTCAATCGACGTGCCGCAAAGACACACCACTTTTCACACCACGCACTCCACCTCCTCCGCACTTCTGTCTTCGGAATTCACTGTCCGAAGAACCAACGAATTTGATCGGAATTTTCTCCTAATCACTGTCACCAGGCCTGCACCTTTCTTCGATATGCGCGCGTTGCAAGCCGCGATGAAACTGGTACGTTTCCTGAGCTCAGGTTCCCGTTAAACGCACCGCGCGCCGGAAACCGATCTTCTCGAAATCACGCGAGTCAATGTCGCTTGGATTCTCCTGCGTTCGTCCGCCGCTGTTGTCAACCGCGAAACGACAGGTCCCCGCGATGCAGCAATCGCTTTGATTTGATCAAACGTTCATCGCACACTTTGGTTTTAATATCGAAATCGTATTTTATCGCACTAGTATAGCGATATGTATATCGTCGGCGGTAAGCGCGTCCCTCAGCAACCGGTACCAGCTGGCCTTTAGACATTCGCGTGAATCACGATAATGAATTGCGATAGCGACCGCGATCGCGATGTTAACACAACGAGGAGGAGGCTTCAGTCTGATCGACACTTCACAACCTTTGCCATATCGTATGACTGGTCAACACAATCGTGGACTGCACACGATGTACCGCGCTACAACTCGTTCACCTTGCAACACGCGACACCCCGCGCGAGCGACCGAATCTTACGATCTGGTTGGCCACGACCGGTCCAGTACCACTGCAGAGACTACGAGAACTTTCCCTCCGTTCGTCAGGTTATCGTGCCGCGTTCTGACCGCGAGAAGGAAAAATGCAGCGAAAAAGGAGAAGAGGAAGGAACAGGCTGCTCCTGGATAAAGGAGAGGGATAAACAGTTGCCGGTCGAGCCGAGTCAAGCCGAGCCGAGATGGTGGGAGCGACGAATAAACGCAGCTGTGTGCCTGGCTATTCCTCTCGCGAGAATAGGAAATGCGGCGACTGTCGATATCCGGTGATGAATCTAGAAAGGAAAGCTAGCCAAGAAGTGGGACTACGCGATGCTCAATTAACTATTAAGAATATAGTTTATTTATTTAATATGTAAAACAAGTTTAAATCCGTCGATAGTTTAAATCCGTCGCACAATTTTGATATTTAACATCCGTATTCTTGAAGCTGTCGAATAAGTCAAATCTGATTTATATTTTATCAGCGTATTATTAGCATTTTATTAACATTTTTACATGTGATAATTTTATTGTCTTTTATAAAATTTTAATCAAGTAACGCGGTATATTTTTGTAAAAAACTTTCGAAGGAATTTCTCTATGATTCTGCTTATAACTGTAAATATAAATCATAAATATGAATTGAAAGAGAAGAGTTTAATCCCGTTATATTATTTATTGCTCGAACATAGTGGTATCGGCCGTTTTCTGCAGGTTGAAACTTATCTTGCAACCGCATTGCCACCACATTACAGTGGAGATATACGTTTATAATCGCGCGTATTGCACATATCGGACATGCATCAACTTCTTAATTGTGCAATTACAATTTGCGCTGTAGGTTCATACGTCATGAAGCGGATCAAATACGCAGAATAAATTTCGCAGTGGCGATTCAGTGAGTTCAGCGAAAAATAACAGCACGTTTACAATGTATTACATTGTGTTGCAATTACGAAAAGATACTCGAGATAGAAACTGAGCCGAAACTGTAACAAAATACTAAAATTGTAAATAATGATAATTAGCAAATACGCGCGTGTGTCTAAATCCGCTTTTACAAAGAATAGTAAAAAAGAATGATACATTTTTTTTCTTTTATATTTATATTATATATAAAAATGTTTGATATAAAATTCTTGTACATTTTATGTTTTTAGTGTTCAGGCAGTTGTAAAGACAAGGGTATGTAGTAATAAATGGCATGTCGAGAGAATAAACATTGAAAGAATGACTAACGTATGTTTGGATACGTCATCATGATTTCACGGACAATTAAATCCATACCAGACAAAGGACGTGCTCAACAGAACAAAATAATGGTCGTAATCTGTATCACGCGTGATACAGATTTTCTTCCTTCTTCAAGAAAAATGCATCCGTTTACTGACTCGAGAATTAAGCATCCTTTTGCATTTGTGCATCCGACTCGATGTAATTTCTTCCGATACAGGATGTAATTTCTTTTTCTTCCTCTTGTAAACCGCGGCCGCAGCCAATGCGAGTTCGTAGAACGACGTCGTAATCAACGTTGCTCATGCGGGAAAATCGCATCATTATCTTTCCGAGATCATACGCCGACTTGTTGTCGACATAGTAGCGATTAAAATAGTTGAAAAAGAAAAGTGTAAGAATGATTGCCATTCGCAATCATTTCTAAAAACTTAGCACATGACAAAAAACCGGTTAATCTTGTTTCGTTAATTTAATATGTAAACTAATTTTCTTATAATGCATCTTTCTAGTTTTTTACAGAGAATTTTTTTTTTTATTGCTACAAGTGATGGTGAAGTGATCACCAATGATATGTGTTATTATGTAATCATTTTTCTATTTGTATCTCCTAAAAAACTACTTACTGCGATATTTGTTTTTATCTTTTGTATAATGTTTTGTTATAAATTTGAATATAATCCGTTGAATTTATATACAAATTTTAAATATGTATATGGTGATAATGTTTGATCCACAGTAATAGTACAAATAATTTTTAATCCACAGTATGAAATAAAAGATATTAGATCATCATTTTTATATTTGTAGAGTTTTCAAATAATTTTGAAGAGATATAAAAGAAAAAATATGCAGTAGTACTCATCTAATATGTTTTTCTCATAAAAGAATGAAAAAATCTTTACAATCAGATTTTAAATTTTAATGAAAGCAAATTAAAGGCAATTTATAATTTCAAAGTGTTGAAAATAAAGTCAATTTAACATTCTAGATGTTAATTTTTATGAAATTTCTACTTTTTTCGAAATATATCGACCTATGCTAATATAGGAATATCTTGCTTTGTCCGTGATAGTATTTTTCTGAAATCCTGGAATCTTATTAGTATGTTTTATTAATTTAACAATTTTTTTATTTTTATTTAAAAAGAAGGTTAAATGAAGGTGAACATATGACCTTTCCAGAAAAAAAACCGGTGCGTATAAATTTTATAATTTATACACACTTTTTGTGTGATTTACATAATAACGTAAGTTTTAATATTACTTGTTACATGAATATGAAATTTATACCATGAATTCTTGTTATTACATCGTATTTTATTTTAAAATTATAGAAATTTATAAACAGTATAAGAAAATTGTTAAATTGAAGCAAAAGTATGATTCAGTTTCGTAAAAATTAAAAAAAAACTTGAAAATTTTGATGCTGCAAGATTGATGCTGTAATATCTGCATAATGTCAAAATGTAGTGCAATGCAAAATATAACGATACAACAGGTTTGCCTTGCCGATCGCGTTATAATAATAACAGAAGGGCAACTAGTACATTTGCCGAATGAGTGGAACATGAACAGATCGGACGAGCATTTTAACTCGTTTCGCTACACACGCGTTTATAGAGACGTGTACTTTCACTTGCGCACCGAAATCACGACGAGCCTCCTCGATTCTGTGTTGCGCATACGTGTGCATAAAAGTGCATAAGCGCGCGAGCGGCGCATAATTGCCGACGCGATCGATTGCAGCATCAGCAAATCCGGCGTATCATTAATTAGCTGATCGCGAATTCTCAATTTGTTCTTATTCGGTTGTCAAATTGCAAATGAAAATTTGTTAGAAGAATACTAATTGTAATGTTCAAACGCTGATAAATGAGCATCAAATGTCCGACTTATATAAGAACAGATATTTTTTACCGGACTATTTGTTTGTATCGAATGCATCCTGTGATTAACACAGATATCAGGAGACGCGGTAGTGTCTCCGGCCAAGAGTTCAAATCTTTCTATATAGAAAAATATTAATATTTTTCTATGTATATATACATCAAGTGATAACGGGATACTGTAATGTCTTTGGATAATACGGATCTTATTTTTTATTATATATAAAAAATATGTATAATATTTATATATATATATATAAAATGTTTATTCTATAAACTAGAAAAATACACATATATAATGATTATAATATGTTAATTAAACTTCAGTTCTTCCTTGTCAATTAATTCACAAGTCTTTTTTTTTGTCAATTAATAAGTTCAGACGCGGCTAGATAGTTTGTACCTTAGCGTTATCAGCCTGCGTTAATTTCTAAGTTTAAATTATCTGACTCATAGATTCCTTCGAACACACAGTCTTTCGCTTCCTTTCTTTTTTTCTCTATACTCTTTTCTCTTATCTCCGACTCTAACTTTGTTCTGTTTCTTTGGTTCTCTTGTTTACTGGCTTTCCTTACTCTCTGTTGGGTTTATTTGACGGGTTTTATCTGACGGGTTTTCGTCAATCTGGGAGTTTATCTCATTAATTACTCTATCTATCTTATCTAATTTCTCCGCTATCTATTTAGCCCACTTTCCGATATTTTTATAATGCATCCTTCAGATAACATATTATATTACTCTGAAAAGAAACACTAAAGTAATTTTCTCGGTTACCTGTTCGTATAATTTCTTGCTAATATTGCAATGCTTATAACATCGAATTATTAATTTATGCAGTAACAATTATTTATTTTGCAATATTATAATGCATTATTATCAATAATTGTGCATTTTGCAATATTTGAATATAATTACACATATGAGATACTTCAGTGCGATATATAATTATGATAAACCGCATTTTTGCTCTATTAATTAAGATATTAATCTGTTCTTGATGACAATATAATTAGATATTATATTTTGAAATAATCCGCTATGATGAATATGTCTTTTTATTTTCAGCAACAAGTATGATTGCATTTTCGCGTGCTTTTTTCGGAATCAGACCTCCCTGAATATCATCAATGGAAATCAAATAGAAGTTGAAATCAAGTGAAACAATTGGAGTGATAGCTGTATTATTGGTAAGTAAAATTATTATATCTGCATGACACTTTGTTATTTATTTTGCAATAATCGTATTTACTGTGCTTGAGACTAGTTTTATGGCATAACATATTAAGTTTTTAATATAAATATATTAACATAATAAAATATATTTAATATATAAAAAGATGAATAAACTTATGTGTGTGTATAATGAATTTCATTTGACATACCAAAATATAAATTTACAAATGCAAACATATTTTATTTGCAAATATATAAAATTTATTTATTTATTTATTTTTATCATTGTTGTTGATCAAAAATGTTAATGATCGTCTATCCAATTCATTGAATTTTGTTGCAAAATATAAATTTACACAATAATATATTTAACATTTGCTAAGATATGATGAACAGAACAGCGAAATTGTAGTACATATAATTAGTAATATATAAAAAAGTATATATTTAAATTATAACATCACTCAAAATAATTAATGTTTTAAAAACAATTATTCCACAGATCGCATTTTTTATTTATCTTCTAAACGTACAGATATTTAGTAAATAAATTATGTTTATTGAAAAAAATTAATTTTTATATAATTATTTGGAATATAATTTCAAATATTTAATATATTCGAAATATTTAATTATTATAAGTAGTAAACTTTGTGGATATTTTATCAGTATTTCAAATATCTCAGATATTTTATATACTTAGATATACATCATTACATAAAGATCAAAATGGAATTAAATAATTAATATATTCTGCAAATGACACATAAATAGTGATCGATATATTATTCACCTTACGATTGCACCGACGATATCTCCTGGGCCTCTTTGTCTTCTCAATGATCTTTAATGATCTCCTCGATAATCGTTCTTTCATACATTTCTTTCATACTCATTTGCAAAAACATGGTTAATTATTATTACGCAACATTTTACACGATACTTTTGAATTTTATCGTGACAATTGTACGATTTTTGCACATTTTCAACGCGTACTTTGTCCTATCGCTACTAAGGAATATTCGAGAAACATAATTTTACGAAGTTATGAGAATAGAATATATATTATCTTGTGGTATGTAAGGTATGTGTGTAAAGGTAGTTTAAGTATTACGCACGTATGTTGTGCCGACTCGCGCGGTGCTCAGCGTGTTTGTTTTTGTTTTTTCGTGACCCTCATGACGCGATATACGCGCGCTCTTGTTTGTCTTCTATCACCTTGCTATTATTCGCACGGCGATATTCGAAGGAGTAAGACGTGACAGAAATAGCTCCGTATCGTACCATTTACCTCTCGTATCATAATCGCTATACGTATTATTTCTTAATAATAATTGCCAATTAATCGTTATGAGTAGGATATACTCACCTTGATTCACGCGACTAACGTGATTTTACGTACTAAATTCGGCGGATATTATCTTCAATTTTAGATGTAATTATTCACGTTCATACAATATAATATATAATAGTAACACGCTATGAATGCGGCAAACGCGAACATGTACTATTTTTCATATGCAAGAAGCGCAGAATGTATACCGAAGTAGTTTAGACGTAATACAGCCGCGGCAAATAATGCGTACTTTTCGATTTGTCTTTGCTGCCGTTATCTACTCTTACGCCGTGAATATCGAATGTCGAACCGTGCAATCGCGTTTTGTGAGTTACTGCTTTGTCAAGATAGAGCAAAGTGCGCGTCGAAAATATCGTGTAACACGCAATTGTAATTCAATTGGCAATAAAATTCACATCAGTTGCATTGCATAAAGATTTGCGCGAATAATTAACATTTCCGCGAGTGAGTGCCATGAAAGAACAGATACGGACCATTGAGAGGAGGAGGAGGCCCAGGGGGCATCAAACGCCGGCGGAGCAACCGTATGGTAAATAAAAAAAAATTTTATCACTTAATTATTATTTATTTAGAAAATATATTAATAGTTTAGCTTTTGTAATAGAATTTTGCACTTTTGTATGATATAATGTATTAAAATATTTAAGAAAGAGATACTTTATATATATATATATAACTATTCGTTAAAATATTCGCAATATTTATGAATTATAATAATTAAATTATTTGAAAATATTTAATATTTCTAATTATTTCACATAATTATGTGAACATTAATAGTTTTACAAACATTAATTCTTCTATTAAATATCTATATGTTTAGAAAACAAATAAAAAATTGATGTATACAATAATTGTTTTGGAAATATTATTTTGAGCGTTGTTATAATTTGGATTTACTTTTTTACATGTTACAGATCAACGCATATTCTACAACTCCGCTGTTGCGCATCGTATGCTGGTAAGTGTTAAAGTATCTTTAATGTAATCTTGCAAGATAATGAATTTATGAAAATTGAATTCTTTATATTGCGAGTAAAAATATTGTAACATTCTGTTTAAGAACTTGCGAGAATATTATAAATACATTTCATAAATTTATTGTCTCAAAGTAGTTGAGTTAGAACAGATTAGACTAATACAATATTTAACTTTGTAACACGTACGATTATTTATCGTTTCATTGGTTACATAATGATGCACATACTTAATATTATATATTGTAAGTATTGTAAACGATTTAGCACTCTAGTAAAATGCAGACAAAAATATAAAGAATAAGTAGAATATAAAATTTTTAAGCTTTTTATGCTAATCATATCTTACAGATAACAAAAAACTTATGTATTGCACATATTTTTGTATAAAATAAAAACAAATGAATATTCATAAAACAGAATAGGAAATAATTGTTAATTTGTTAAGTGCATTTAAAAAAAATTTTTTTTCTTCAAATATTTTTCAAATTATTTACGGTAACTCTTTAATTTTATTGCTATATTTTTCCAAATTAAACTATATTATATAAACTGATAAGGAGCAATTCTCAGAGAATTTTTCAAAATACATTGCAATGTAACACAAAGAGAGATAACAAATATTTTACAAACATATTTCAACTAATTTATATGGTGGGAAAACGCGTATGCAGTCAATGATTATTAAGCGTATTTCTTTTTTAAATGCGCTAATTTTATTCTAATCTTTTCTAATTCATTCTTTTTTATTGATGAAAAAAATATCTGCATCTATTTTGGAATTGTGGAATATTTTTTGTATTATTTTATACAATTAAATCTGTACATGTGAGATATCTTTCCAATTCACAATTTATAAATGGAGTATCATATGTTATTGTTAAAAAATATGGCCATACAGTTCCTATTTTTCAAGATAGATTTAGGTAGCAAATACCGACAGAGATCGGTAAGCATTCCATGAAAAATACCTGAGAACGGAATGTTCGCTCTCTCAGATTTCTCTCTGGTAATATCACGAGAGAAACCTTTTCAGCATTGCTCAGTCGTTCTCTTGCACGTCAGATGCCGCTACTGATATATAAGGAGACTATAGTAATCAGAATTTGAAATAATAAACAAGTAGTTTTTTCCGCGTGTGTAAAATCTCTAAAAGATATTTATTTATGATAGTTCGATCAAATTCATAATATAAATATGATAAACATTTGCATATTTTTTAAATGATAGAGATCTTACAATTTTTATTAACTTTTACGTACTCTAAATACAGATTATTTAGCTATTTTTTAATTTAAGTATTTGAGAATACTTTGCGTTGCATGGATTATGTAAGATATACGTAACTTTTTGCATAAAATGAAATTACACGAAGAAAAGTATGACAAATGAAAAGTATGCAAATGTGTTTTTCAAATTACGATCAAAATATATTACGTAGAAAATCTTATTTGATTTCAGAATATTATTTTTATTAATACTTTGTGATCGGTTTATTTTTCATATTTCTCAACAATAACAAGATTATATACATCATGTATTACATACATGATTTAAAGTACTACATTGAAAACTTGCACAAATAATTTCTTACTGATTTTATTTTTGACTTTAATGAATTTTTAATTAGTATTTTTGATAATTGATTTGGAACTATATGATAAATGAAACTATATGATAAATGGAACTATAAAATAAATGAATATATGATTTAATTAATGTAGACAACGTTGCAACGTGGTCTTATATTTTTTATGAATTTATACTGCATACATAATGCATTTGTCAATCGTACAAATGGCTATCATTTTGTTGATTACTCATTTATAATTGATTACGTACTGCTTACTATATAAATGATTTATATACGAATCGTATAGAATAAATCTCCAGTTAAAACTGTGAAAAAACGCGAGTGTTCAGGAACTTCTACGTCGTCGCTAAGAAACAAAGCGTTCGCCGTGATCAAAATTAATCTCGTATCGATTATGCGAGTTGGCGCGCGAGAGACGACGATACACGCGACTATACGCGCGCGGCCCCACGTGTCCCCCAAGGCGAGCACGCTCGCGAACACACACGCGGCCCTAAGCACGAAACGGGGAGAATGAAAAGGGAAAGAGAGACGAGACTTGCGTGTCGCTTAAGCTACGAGGACGGAGGGGGGTCGGACGAGGGGAGGATAGGATAGAGAAGGACCGGTCTGCAAGAAGATTCTTCCAGCTGGGGGGTAGTAAAGGTTCGTGCAGGGTAGATGGGGTGGTCGGGTCGGCGAAGGAGAGCCACAGGAGGACGGTGGTGGCTGGAGGTGAAGAAGGTGGAGGAGGGCGACGGGCCGAGCGAGGGGTCCGCGGGGGAGGGAAAACGGGACTGGCGAGAACTGGAAGAGGGTGGTGGAGGGTGGTTTAAGCAGTGGTGGGAGTGGGCCGAGCTAAGACGCGTAATGACGCCCTGAATCAATATGTGAGGCACTGAGATATGCATACGAACTAAGACAACCGCACACCAACCAGCGCCACGGCTCCTCTGCCCGGCGTCGCGGCGCGGTATGGTGCGGCGCGGCGCGGCATCAGCGCCGCGGCGCGCAAAAGGTGGGGAGAAATTAAAGACGAAGCAGGCACAAAAATAACGACCCACCGGCCGTGTACCCCTCGCCACCCTCTTTTCCTTCTCGGAGCCACCCCGCGCGCACTTCCACCGCCTTCCGCCGACCCTCTCTCCCGCCCCGCCGCGTCTCTCACCACTCCCGACCGCTATCCTCTCGTTCGTTCCCGTCCCCTTCTTTCCATCTTTTAAGCTCATTCTTCCTTTCTCTTGTAAATTCGCCGTCCTCCTTCCTCGTTTACCCTCGGAAGACGTGACTGCGACGACGGAGATGAGACGCGGCGGAGTCGGAACGACGGCGGTCGTCCGCGGTGCAAAAGAGGGTGGTCGACGCGGCAGGAACGCGATCGGTTTAGTGGATCGTTTCGATCGGCACGATGTCCAGACGGTGGCGGATGGAGAGAGGGCCTCGCCGCGATCCAGCCCGCGCCGATTAATCCGCGTTACACCGCGAATCCCATCGCGTGGCAGGTAGGAATATAAATCCTATTATCGTAAGAGCGTACGGAAATACGTAAACGCGCGATTCCATGTGGACCAATTAGCGACGAGTAGCTTTAGCAAGAAATTTTTTTCATTGTTTATTTATATAATTGAAGCAAGATGAAGATGATGTAGAGACTTGAGCTAAATTTGCGACAAAATTGAGATAATATAAATGAAATATTTGTATTTCACTTTATTATGCATATTATAGCATTACATAATAGTTGGCTATTTCTACAGTTATTGCCCAAGCAAAACAGCGAATTGCTGAATATAAAGCAATGAGTTAGTAATTATTATAGTGCTCAATTACTTAAATCAGTATAAGTTATTTATTTCAATTATAGAATTTGATGAATATTTTTTATTTGCTTTCAAGATGGTTTTTCGTCGTTGAATCTTATATTATTTTCAACGCTTTATTTGAACTACATTCAACAATATAAAAATCAGTAGTATCCACTACTGAAATTTAAAATTAGTACCAAAACAATTTTTTATCTTTTCTTATTTTTTATTTCAATGTTCTTCTTTTTTATTTTGATTCTTATTTTTAATATTGCACAAAGCTGTTTTTCTCAATCCTAGAATAACACAGTTCCTTATCTAACGACACAATTTAATTGGCCTTGTATTATGTTGACTGTCCAAGTTCTGATTCGGGACCTTCGACTTTAAGGAGACTTTGAATCATTGTCGAGCACAGCAAAAAGCACGATTAACAACAAGCGCGAATATTCGAGCGATCCCTTCGAACGTGAATTCGCTATTAAGGAGGCTTTTCTTTCACCGAGGAGAGTAGATTTTCGCACGTCGAAGGGATAACCCTGAAATCTGCTTACGATCGAAACTATAGATAAGGCGCAACTCAGTGGCGGCTTTAAGGTACTTATGATATTCATCCTTATCGCATAGTTGGTTTAAATTTGATCGCGATCGATGAACGATCTTACACAGTGTGTCTCGGCGCATTTATTTCAAAGATGACGCGCGCGGAAATAGATTATGTAACACAGATTTCATACGATAATATTAGTTAGATAATATTAATAGCACAACGTTAAGGTTGTTTTAGAGTTGGGAATACATGTCGCCACCTGTTGCAATTTCTAAAAAGAACGATCGTGATAACATTTATTATTCACCATGTGATGTGGCGTTACGAATTTAGGGATGCATTTTGAAACGCTCAATTACAATATAATATAATATAAGTTGTTTATAGAAGAATAAAATTATGCACTCGCGGATACTGCATATGCATCGATTTTGCAAGCATCAAGCGCATCGCTCGGGGATACGTGATGCGCATTATCGTTGCAGATATGTGAACCGTATATTATCACTGCACATATACATCTATTTATGTTATAATCAATATCTAAATAACATAAAACAAGGACCCGAAAGACTTATTTGATTTGTCTAAACTTGAATTGATCGTAAAACATTGCCGAATGCATAGATTGCATGCATTTGCATTTACATTGATCTAACTCGCGAGCATTATTGCGGACTGTCATCACGACATTACGCATGCATACATAATAAAAAATTATAGGATAGAAAATTATAAGGATCATAATTCTTGGAGCAATAGTATTTTTTAATCTTTTATCATTTTTGATATTTACTTTCGCTATTGTATATCGCCACTTTTATTATATTATTATAATCTATTTTTTAATGATTATATACTTATATTTAATGCCTTTAATTTTTGATATAATATGCATTTTATTGAAATTTTTTTCATTATTTTATATTAATCAACATAAGTTCTTACACACACACACATATGATGTTTAATGATTTATACTTATTACGACATCACATTATTATGATTGTACATTAAGAATTACGTTTTCGACTCATTAGTTTCACGCACAATCCT